TATATATATATATATATATATATATATATGGCTAATTTTCTGTCCATATTTTACATTACTTCAACTTTTAAACACTTTAGTCAAGCTGCTTATGCAGCTCTAAGCAGCTCATTCAATGCCACATTCTTCAACATTTTGGTCTTTAACATTAAACTAAACTTGTATTTCTTTAAACATCTTTTTAATTTATTTTTCTGATTCTGCTAATTTCAGCCTATGTTGTGAACTTTGGCTTGATTCTGCTCTCTTTCTGGACAGGCATTTAGCTTTTCTGTTTGTTGCTAATTCATAACATGCCCGGCATGTTTCTGCTGTTGGCTTCAGCTTGCCTCTACTATTTTTTAACAAAGAAATTAAGCATTAATCTTTTCTTCTATTTCATATTATTTCAGCAGTTTCTGATATTTTATGCTTACAGTTTAGCATTAAACAGTAAGTTTTTAAGTTTTTCTAGTTTAACTAGTTTGCAATCCAGATTGCTCTTAGTGCCAATACTTTTCAAGACATAGACAGTCTCACAATCTTTCAGTTCTTCAACTTTTTCCTCTACAATCTTGAACACCTCATATGGTGGTATGAGCACTTCTTCTTCTTCAGGATGAGCTGAATACTTTATTATGTCGGCACCATAACAGGTTGTGATTTTAAAGCAGGATTTTTTCCCGTATTGTTTCAAATTTGGATTCAGAGAGCTGGATGTAAAGCTACCAAGTCGAATTTCCTTTTCTTTTTCTTCAAAAGTACTGTCGGTCCTTCTATAAGTATCATAGCAATCGTGTTTGTCATGTTTTTTTAATTTCTGTATAGCTGATGCCAGTAAGAAATATAAAGTGTGGTACTTAAATGAGGTGCCATATACATTTTTACCTGTCCTAGTAGCACTGTTAAACTTGGAATAAACTCCATTTTCATTTTTAGTGTAGACACGAAGAGCTGTCAGTTCATCCGGAGTCAGAAATGGATGATATTTAATAATTTGTTTTTTTTCATTTTCCCAGTCATAATCCTTCTGTTTCAGTTCTTTACTAAACTCTTTGATCTTTTCTGTCATCTCGTCTTTGCAATCACTGTACATGTCATCAACTGAGTTTTTGTAGAATTCTAATGGGTATGGGCCAGACTTCTGCAAAAGAAGAAAAAAAAAAAACATTTAAGACAAGCCGTGTCATGTTATTTGTTCTTTTTTCCACAAACACTAATATGACTTACTCATATTTTCAAACAATAGCCAGCAGTCACCAGTTTTGTACAACATCTCAAAGCGAAAGTGAGGGAGATCAGTAAGGGTGCAGTGTTGGTGTTCACTTTAGACAGTGAGCACATTGAGAGCTTGCAAATTCCAACATAAAAGGGATTCATTAAAAAAAATAGTGAATTTTATTTATTCCTTTTAATTGTATGATTATGACTCGCACCAAATAAAAATTAAATTAGCTTCTGTGAGAAAAAAATAAAGGTAAAGAAAGTGATGACAAAGGACAGGCAATAGCAGATGGAAAACTTAATGAGAAAAAAATAATGTATCAGAAGAGACAATGACTGCAGTTTGTACAGCAGCCCTTACTTCCAGTGGGACGATTTACTGGCTGAGGGAGTGAGACATGGTTAAAGGTTCTTTTTTTTGTTGTTGCTTTTCTGTAGTTTTGTTTTGTTTTTAGGCTTTGGATCACTATTCGTCTGCCCTCCTCAAGTCCTGGCATAAGTAAAGTTAATGAAATATTTTTAATGCTTTTCTTTGCTGTGCGACTCCCAATTTTATTGTTTTATTTTAGTGTTTTACTTTGTAGCCCCGTGTATATTCCTGCCAGACCTTTGAAAATACTGCTGAATTGCTGCGTAGTTTGGGGTTTCAAAACAGGTGATATCTGATTGCAAATGCAACTTAAAATATAATGGCTTATGAGCATTAAAAAAACATTTAGAAAAGAAGCTACTGTTCCTGGAAATTAACGGATATGCGTGAAAAGGAGAATTTAATTTACATTAAAACAGCAGACAGAAAGCTGCCTCGGGCGCCGTCTGCTGGACAGGGCGCAAAATTGCAGAATTGGGAAAAAAAATGTAATATTGTAATTATATCGATCACATTTATAAATATTCTTTAGGTTATTGACTTGTAAAAAAGGTTGCTTTTTTAACATTTAATATAAAAACAAAATAATAATTATGGAGTAACAGTGGAGTTGAGTGTAAACCCATACTTGCCATCGTTGGGCCGTGAAAAATCTTTCTTTCTTTTTTTATACCACTGACCCCCACCATCTAAAGGATTTATTTGCTTTAGCCATGTAACAGAAAACAAAAAATACCAATGAAGATGACTATTTCTTCTACAGGCTGTACAAGTAGGGTTGACAGATACTGCAACATTTATCCCCTACAAGCTTTATTTTTTATTGAAAGGGAATTAGTTGAGAAATTTTTGATCAGAAGGTCTGTGGGAGAAAACATTAAAAATCAGGATTCTCCCACTTACATGAGGAGAGTTTGCAAGTATGTAAGCTCAGTGGCTGACACATCATTTGTCAGCTTTATTCTACAAAAGTAGTTAATATTGTATAAGAAATACATTTTAAAAAGTTCTGTGCCTAAAACTTCCTGTGAAATGGTTGTACGAGGTGTATTCACTTCACTACAGGGTATAGAGATACGTTTGAAAAGAAATACCTAAAAAGTATTACAAAATTTTGAAAAACTGAGTAACCCTGACTACAATACTTCTGATTTTAAATTAAATCTACAAGTTTGTCTGTTCTACATGTGGCCTCCCTTACATCTCTCTGTGAAATAATGCAGGCACCGATGCAGAAAACACTAAAATACTACACCAAAAACATAGTAAATTGCACATTTCTCTAAATTACAGTTTCAAAATAAAATGTTTTTTCATGTTTTTTCACTTACCACTCCACTGAATTGTGTCCAGCAGAGAAGACATAGTGTAGTGAAGATCAGCATGATTTCTTCTTTTTTACCTACAAAATAAACAGCATGATTCTTACTTTCCTAACAAGCACAATTAATGTACGTGAACGGTATTCTAACATACCTGTGGTAATTTCCAGAAAAGAGAATGCGAGTTTGAGAGCTACCTCAAAGTGGCTATGCTGCAGAGCAGGGCCTGAATATATATACCCCTGCAAAAGGAATCTAAACTGTTAATCTTCCTAATCGTCCTTATCTGTTACAGTTATTGTTATCAAACAGAGCAGTCAAATAGCTCAATTTCCATAATGAAAATGTATTCTGAAGTGAACATAATTTGTATTGAGAGCAGCTTTATATTACAGGATTTCTTAAAGGAAAACAACTGAATTCTCCTGCTAAAGGTAAATTTTGGCATCATTTTTGAACATCCATCTGTCCGTCCATCCATCCATGCATAGATGCATCTATGCAAACATTGTTATGGTAAGTCCTGCTATAAAGTTCATTGCGTTAATTCTAACGAATTGTAAAACTATTAGTCAGAGTGCAACATTGTTACAATTAACTCCGTTGTGTCCATGGGCAAGGCACTTCACCTGTATTACTTACTGATAGTGCTCAGAGGGCCTGGTGGCGTCTTTGTATACTGCAGCCTCGCTTCTGTCAGTGATCCCCAGGGCAGCTGTGGCTACCATGTAGCTTGATACCATCACTGTGTGAGTGGGTGAATGGGTGAAGGACTGAATGTAGAGTAAAACGCTTTGGTCAAGGCTCCTAACTTGAAAAAGTGCTAAATAAGGACAGGCCATTTACCATAAAGAGTTCAATTTCCAACCCTGACTCACAGGCATTACTTATATCTCACATTTGCATTCACACCATAGCATACTAGGTAATCATTTTTAATGTGATAAAGCCTTTTTCATTAATAATTTTTTTCAATAAATAACAAAATATATAAAAAACAACAGAAACAGGCAGTCAAAACAAACCTACAAGATCAAAACTTCTCTGTATCATCATATGTTTGTGATTACGTCAGCTGTGATATAATTCATCATATACTCAAATATTCTAATGTACTGGAGGAAACAACCCCATGCTAAATGTGAATTCCCTTTAACATTATTCCTACTAGCAATCAAATTTTTGAAAGATGNTAATAATAATAATAATAATAATAATAATAATAATAATAATAATAATAATAATAATAATAATAATAATAATAATAATAATAATAATAATAATAATGGGGAGTTGAGTGCAAAAGTGTATCGGCCCACAGGGTAATTATTGTCATTTCTTGCCTTGTATTTTCAACCTGAAAATACTTGATGAAGGAATCTTATTCTGAATTTTTTTTTTTTTTATTAAATTGATCATTTTTAAGGGCAACAAACAAAGTAGTATAAATAATAATAAAAATTGAAATGAGAACCAGAAGACTAAATAATAAGGCAGTTTCACCGCAGTGTAGTTAGTGTGCAGTATTGCAGATTAAATTATATTTTGCCTCTTGGAATGATGTTTCATCTCAAGGGGTTATCCAATAATAAATAAACAAATCAAATAAACTAATTAACAAGCATGTACCACTGACCCCCACCATCTAAAGGATTAATTTGATTTAGCCATGTAACAGAAAACAAAAAACACCAATGACGATGACTATTTCTTCTGCAGGCTGTACAAGTAGGGTTGACAAATATTGCAACATTTATCCCCTACAAGGTTTATTTTTTATTGAAAGGGAATGAGAAATTTTTGATCGGAAGGTCTGTGGGAGAAAACATTAAAAATCAGGATTCTCCCGCTTACATCTGGAGAGTTTGCAAGTATGTAAGCTCAGTGGCTGACACATCATTTGTCAGCTTTATTCTACAAAAGTAGTTAATATTGTATAAGAAATACATTTTAAAAAGTTCTGTGCCTAAAACTTCCTGTGAAATGGTTGTACGAGGTGTATTCACTTCACTACAGGGTATAGAGATACGTTTGAAAAGAAATACCTAAAAAGTATTACAAAATTTTGAAAAACTGAGTAACCCTGACTACAATACTTCTGATTTTAAATTAAATCTACAAGTTTGTCTGTTCTACATGTGGCCTCCCTTACATCTCTCTGTGAAATAATGCAGGCACCGATGCAGAAAACACTAAAATACTACACCAAAAACATAGTAAATTGCACATTTCTCTAAATTACAGTTTCAAAATAAAATGTTTTTTCATGTTTTTTCACTTACCACTCCACTGAATTGTGTCCAGCAGAGAAGACATAGTGTAGTGAAGATCAGCATGATTTCTTCTTTTTTACCTACAAAATAAACAGCATGATTCTTACTTTCCTAACAAGCACAATTAATGTACGTGAACGGTATTCTAACATACCTGTGGTAATTTCCAGAAAAGAGAATGCGAGTTTGAGAGCTACCTCAAAGTGGCTATGCTGCAGAGCAGGGCCTGAATATATATACCCCTGCAAAAGGAATCTAAACTGTTAATCTTCCTAATCGTCCTTATCTGTTACAGTTATTGTTATCAAACAGAGCAGTCAAATAGCTCAATTTCCATAATGAAAATGTATTCTGAAGTGAACATAATTTGTATTGAGAGCAGCTTTATATTACAGGATTTCTTAAAGGAAAACAACTGAATTCTCCTGCTAAAGGTAAATTTTGGCATCATTTTTGAACATCCATCTGTCCGTCCATCCATCCATGCATAGATGCATCTATGCAAACATTGTTATGGTAAGTCCTGCTATAAAGTTCATTGCGTTAATTCTAACGAATTGTAAAACTATTAGTCAGAGTGCAACATTGTTACAATTAACTCCGTTGTGTCCATGGGCAAGGCACTTCACCTGTATTACTTACTGATAGTGCTCAGAGGGCCTGGTGGCGTCTTTGTATACTGCAGCCTCGCTTCTGTCAGTGATCCCCAGGGCAGCTGTGGCTACCATGTAGCTTGATACCATCACTGTGTGAGTGGGTGAATGGGTAAATGACTGAATGTAGAGTAAAACGCTTTGGTCAAGGCTCCTAACTTGAAAAAGTGCTATATAAGAACAGGCAATTTACCATTAGGAGTTCAATTTCCAGCCCTGACTCACAGCCATTACTTATATCTCACATTTGCATTCACACCATAGCATACTAGGTAATCATTTTTAATGTGATAAAGCCTTTTTCATTAATAATTTTTTTCAATAAATAACAAAATATATAAAAAACAACAGAAACAGGCAGTCAAAACAAACCTACAAGATCAAAACTTCTCTGTATCATCATATGTTTGTGATTACGTCAGCTGTGATATAATTCATCATATACTCAAATATTCTAATGTACTGGAGGAAACAACCCCATGCTAAATGTGAATTCCCTTTAACATTATTCCTACTAGCAATCAAATTTTTGAAAGATGCAGTCTTTCCAGCTTGCAAGCTCTGGCATACACATGCTCTTCCAGTTCCATTTTATCAGCCACTCTGCAGTAATGAGGCCTGCTGTTATCAGTGCATGGTGTCTTTTGCTAACTACTTGTGGCGAAAGTGAACCATCCCTAACGGGACAAAGCAGTGGAGATTCTGGTAAATTTTCTCCCAAAGAATACATTCTCTTAAGGCTTTTTTCCAGAAAGGTAATACCACTGGACATTCCCAAAAGGCATGCAGAAATAAACCTCCAATAAGCTCTGTCAGTCTGAGGTGGCAGTCTGCAGTACCGGGGCCCCCGTACTGTCTCCATTTCTCTTCACCCTCTACACCTCAGACTTTACCTACAACAGGGAGAGCGACCACCTCCAGAAGTTGATGACTCGGCCAATGAGGCCTGTGTGTAGGAGGGACAAGCTTGAGTATCATCAGTCATCATGAACTTTGTGGACACCAGTAAGACCAAGGAGATGGTGATAGACTTCAGGAGAAGACCTCCACCTTACTCCCCTGTGAACATCAAGGGGCAGGACATAGAAACCCTGGAGTTTCAGATACCTGGGTGTTCATGTAAACAACAAACTGGGCTGGACTTATAGCACTGACGCCCTATTTGGAGGCTGAGGCCCTTTGGAGTGAGCACGCCCCTGCTTATAACCTACTATGACTCTGTGATGGCATCTGGGCTCCTCTATGCTGTCGTCTGCTGGACCCTGGACGCAGAGCGGGACAGAAAGAGGCTGAATAAGCTGTTGAGGACCACTTCTGTCCTAGGCTGCACTCTTGACTCAGTGGAGGAAGTGGCTGATAGGAGTGTTGTCCAAGCTCACATCCATCATGGAAAAACACCTTCCACCGTCTGCACCAGGCTTTAAAGGAGCTGAGCACCTCCTTTTGTGAAAGACTTAAACACCCTGTTTGTAAAAAGGAGCGCCACCGCAGGTCATCCATCCCTGCTGCCATCAGTTTATAATGCCACACTATAACTGCAATAACCTGCGCAATAACTAAGGTGCAATCACTATTTAATAACCTGTTATCCTGTTAGATAAGCGACTTCAGCTGCTAGTTATCTTACCATCTCACTGTTGTTCTGTACCTTGTACCACTTTAATGTACAATGCCAAATCCATGTGTATAAGTCACCTTAAATGTACATAAGTCACCTTAATTGATCCACTGTATATACATGGATTCACTGGACCCAGGAGGTTTAAAGCATCATATGCTAAATAACCAGGTTATATTTTGTTACATTAATTTACTCCTCACTTTTGTCTATTCTGCTCTTTGCTGTCTGCCTGTATTTGTGTAAAAACAAACATGCAAAATAAAACAGAAAACTATGGACAGCATTGATGGTATTTAATGTAAAACTCAACAGTAACCAAATTTCATTCTTTGCTGCTCTTTGAAAGGTGATTCTGTATCTAATGATTGAGCAAATGGACGGAAATGTTGTGCTTCCTTCTCTCTTTTCTAAACTGTCCTAGGAAGAAATAAAACCCCTTTACAAGCATTTGTTTCTCTTTAATAAAGACATTTATTTCTGTCAGAGGGGGGACTGTCTCTTAGTTGTCATCGGCACTGGCTGCTTCCTTTAGTCGCTCCACACTGTTGTAGTGCTCTCCTAGACCATAGGCATGATGCATATATCTGTAAAAAATTAATAAAAACACATATATTTCATGACAGCAAAGGTCAGTGCCATACCTCAATTTGCCTTCAGCTTCTTTACATGAGAAACTGATAATGTGCTATCAGCTTGTCCATGTTTTCATACAGGTAAATCATCCTATAGCA